GGGGCATGCAGGACTGGAATAGCTGAGGGCACTGCAGGTGAGGTGTCATAAATATAAAGGGAAGGGTAACCACCTTTCTGTATACAGTGCTATAAAATCCCTCCTGGCCAGAGGCAACATCCTGTTACCTGTAAAGGGTTAAGAAGCTCAGCTAAGCTGACTGGCACCTGACCCAAAGGACCAATAAGGAGACAAGATACTTTCAAATCTTGAGGTGGGGAAGGGTTTTGTTTGTGCTCTTTGTTTACGTGGTTGATCTCTCTTGGGACTGAGAGAGGCCAGACAGAAATCCATCTTCTCCAACCCATCCTAATCTAAGTCTCCAAAATTGCAACCAGTATAGGTAAGCCAGGCAAAGCGGATTAGTTTATCTTTTGTTTTTTGTGAATTTTCCCTGTGTTAAGAGGGAGGTTTAATCCTGTTTTCTGTAACTTTAAGGTTTTGCCCAGAGGGGGATCCTCTGTGTTTTGAATCTGATTACCCTGTAAAGTATTTTCCATCCTGATTTTACAGAGGTGATTCTTTTATCTTTTCTTGAATTAAAATTCTTCTTTTAAGAACCTGATTGATTTTTCATTGTTCTTAAGATCCAAGGGTTTGGGTCTGTGTTCACCTGTACCAATTGGTGAGGATTATTATCAAGCCTTCCCCAGGAAAAGGGGTGTAGCTTGGGGGGATATTTTGGGGGAAGACGTCACCAAGTGGGCTCTTTCCCTGTTCTTTGTTTAAAATGCTTGGTGGTGGCAGCATAGGGTTCAAGGCCAAGGCAAAGTCTGTACCTTGGGGAAGTTTTTAACCTAAGCTGGTAAGAATAAGCTTAGGGGGGTCTTTCATGCGGGTCCCCACAACTGTACCCTAGAGTTCAGAGTGTGGAAGGAATCCTGACATGAGGATTGGGGTGGGGCACCTAGGACTGGAATGTCTGGGGTCACTGCAGGTGAGGATTGGGGTGTGTTGGCAGAGCTGTGTGGGGTTTCAGGACTGCAATAGCTGGGGTCACGGCAGGTGAGGATTGGGGTGCGTTGGCAGAGCTGGGGTCACTGCAGGTGAGGACTGGGGTGCGTTGGCAGAGCTGTGTGGGGCACCCAGAACTGGAATGGCTGGGGTCACTGCAGGTGAGGACTGGGGTGTGTTGGCAGAGCTGTGTGGGGTTTCAGGACTGCAATAGCTGGGGTCACTGCAGGTGAGGATTGAGGTGTGTTGAAAGAGCTGTGTGGGGTTTCAGGACTGGAATGGCACCTTAGCCTTGCACTGTGTGGCCAGAGCTATGCGGGGTCCAGACCAGGAGGGGTGCAGGTTGGAGCCTCCGTTGGCAGAGCCTTGTGGACTGGCTCGCGGGGGAGCTTACACTTACGTCCTTCCCCATCCAGCTCTGTCCGTCTCTCATGTGTTAAGGCCCCTCGTGCTCATCCATCTTCTCCCCACCATAGCCACAGTGTACCCCACATTAGCTATGGCGAGGAGACACGGGCTGATGTGAGCCTTGTTGGGGAGGACGGGGGTCAGGTGGTGAGCTGTAAAAAGGGAGGATTCCTGTCTTGTGCCTGCTGAGAAGGGTGCCTGAGGCCCAGTGTTGGAAAGGCCCCTGGGCACCAGCCATTTGCAGTGTTCCTAGCCCGGCGCCCTGGATTGCCCTTGACTCAGGCTGGGCCTTGTGGCTAATGCTTTTCTGGCCCTCATTGGTGACTGTACCCCTCCCCCCCCCACATACCCTAATCCCCTCTTGCCAGCAGAGAAAAGAAAGGAGGGAAGAGAAGAGGAGGAGGGGAGGGCAGGCGACAGAGAAACTTCTTCCAACTTCTTGGGAATAAAAAGGCCCTATTCACTTTGAAGAATAACAGCGCAGAGACGGTCACCTAGCAACCTGGAGCGATTCGGCATGGCCCAGTCACTGCCGGTAAGGAACAATGATTCCTTGCCACCCTCCTGAGAGCTCAAAGTCTGGGGGGGCCTTCCCAAGAAGAGTGGGGAGGGCTGCCGGGGCTGGGAAAGCCAGGCGTGTTCAGCATGAGAATGGGCTTCCTTTGAGAATGGAAGATGAGATTGTCCCAATCAGCATGCAGGGGTGGGGGTCAGGCCGGATTCTGATACTGATGTAAATCAGGGACAACTCCACTGGAGCTATACTGGGTATAAGAGAAGAGAGTCAGACCTGCGGGTCTAGTGGTATGCTGGCATCTTTGGAGGGATATCGTCTGTCCTCACCTGCGCCCTACACAGCCCTATTTCAGCCTCATCTACAGGGGGGAGGGATTTAAACCTTCTCTTCCCTCCTTCTGAATACACACCTGGACTATGGCGGCTGATCTGGACTCCCTGCACTGAGAAAGGAAACACCTTTAAACCACTTTGCCATCAGCACATGGTAAAGTCCTGCGTGGTACAAGCAAAGCCTTGATTTGCACTGGTGGAACTTACCCCTGCCTACGCTTGGCTCGAGGGTGGGCTAATCCCAATGTAGACAAGGCCAGTACATTTCTCCCACGCCCAGGGTAGATCCAGACAACTGAGGGATTACTGACAAACAGGACCCAGTCACAGTACCCTAGAAGGGCTAAAGGCATGATCCAAAGCTCATTGAAATCAATAGAAGTCTTTCCATTAACTCTAGTGGGCTCTGGATCAGACCTTTAAAGGGTCAAGCTGGATAGGTGCAGCTTTGGTGTGCCGGGAATTGTCTCCTTAGAGCAGCTTTGGGGGCTGTGCAAAACATTCACAACAGGTGACACTGCACGTTTCATCTCAACTCCAGTGGGGATCCCAAGGGTAGCTGAAAAGCCCCAGGGAGCCGCCAGCAGAGGCCACACCCAGCCTTCATAAACACGAATAAATGGTTTGACAGACCAAGGTGTGAAGCTGGTCACCCTTTGTAAAGCATATGTATAAAAATAGTGAAACAACTCTGGGTCGAGCTGGCCAGATGACGGTGACAATTTGCGTTGCCAAACAGATCTGAAATTCCTCCCCTTAGAACTCAGGTGCTTCCCTCAGTGGCATTTCCGTGATCCTGCAGAACGGCCTGGTAAAGGAAAGTCATGTCACTCGCAGCCAGAGTGTTAATAGGAACGTCCCCACATCCCTGCCCCTCCCCCCACCAATTTCTGCAGAGCATTAAAGTGGTTGGGTTTGCTGGAGCGTGCGTGTGGGTGAGTGAAATAAACACGTTTCTCTTGAGGTTGCAATGAGCAAAAGCCTCCCTAGCCAAAACACAGCTGCGTCGTTCGGCTGCAAACCCCGTCTAGCGTATAGCAGGTCCCAGCTTTGCCGTCTCTATATGACACTCAGCGATGAGCGGCGGGGCAAGGAATTACCACAATCGTTTGCCTTGAAATATCTGGGAGGTGCTAACTGCTGTGAGTGCCTGATCCTAGGAAATCCTGAACGTGTCTGACAAGGTGCTGAGCACCTCAACCACCCATTAGAACAGGACTGGGCCCCAAACGAGTGAAGACGATTCATCAGATGGGGCCCACTGACTGCAGCAAGAACAGATCATCTTACCCCACGCACCATTCACCGGCATAATTAAGCCACCCCCAATGAGCAGCGGTAGCTATGCCATTGGGAGAGCATCTCCCACCAACATAGCGCTGTGCAAACGAGTGCTTTTGCTGGCAAAGCCTATGTCGCTCACAGGTGCGCCTTTTTCACACCTCTGAGCGACAAAAGTCTTGCTGACATAAGTGCTAATGTAGATGTGGCCTAAACGTCTAGAGCTAAGAGTATTATATTGATAATACAGCGTCATTCTCTAGGATCTTCTGCCAGAGGAGCTCCCAGAGCTATTCTGCTAATTCAGCCTCGTAAGTAGAGCTGGGCAAAATCTTTGGGCTGAAACTTTTCTTTGCTAAAAAAAAAATGCAGGTTTAGGTCAACTGAAACATTTCGCAAATTCGTGTCAAATTCACCAAATTGTTTTGGTCTAAAAAAGCAAAAACAAACAAAAAAGTCCCCCAAAACAGAAACGGATTTTTTCAGTTCAAAACAACTTTTCATTTAGAATTTTACTTCATGTTTTTAAAGGTTAAACTCAAAAATGAAACACAATATTTATTGCTGGGTTGATGGGAACATTTTTTCAACCTGAAATAAAATGTTTTTTTTTCACTTTTTTCAGTTTGCTGAAAAAAATATTTTTGTTTCAGGTCAAACCAAAACAATTTTCGGCCAGCAAACCAAAAAGTCAGTTATTGATGCAGCCCTAGTCACAAGTCCCTTAAGAAAGAAAACCTTTTTATACCCATTTTACTGACTATAAACCAAGGCAAAGAAAGGATATGTGACTTTCTCAAGATCACAAGGCAGAATCAGGAATTGAACCCTGGAGTCCTGGTGCCAAATTCCCAAGCACTAACCATTAGACCATATTGGTAACCGCCTGGAAAAAAACTAGCCCCATTTCGATGGGAGCAGTCTAATTGCACACAGGCAAAAAAGAGCTAAACCAGAGTGGGACAATCAGGGCTGGATCGACTTGGGCTGAGCTCAGGAACAAATCCCCCTCCCCAAAACAATCTCCCACCAATTACTCAGAGGGATGGATGGGGACACATGAGCTGCAGCAGAAGAGTGGGGAGCAGGGCAATGGTTATTCTGTGGGCTCAAGCAGGTGTTAAATGGGACTCCTGATGCACCATGCAATTGGGGCTCACCACAGCAGTCCAAGCAGACTCCCTGTCCCCAATGACTGCTGCACCTCTCCCAAGAAACCCAGCTGAATGCCAGTTCCGAACTCCATAGATGTGTCTGCTGCTAGCAAAAGGCTTCTAGATGGAAACATTCAAGATCCCTCCAACTTGGAATTCTCTCTCCCAATGACAGCGCTGCAAACCAAAGAACTGACAATGGCTTTTGTAGCCCCTAGAGTAACAATCAGCCCTGCACCAGCTACATGTGTGGTCTGAGATGGGAAGGTCCTTGCTGTTTGCTTAGTGCTTCTTTCCTGGCCTTTTGCCGAGGTGCATGGGGTGCATATTACTGGAACCAACGCCCTGAGACAGAAGATTTCCGTGCCAAAGAATTAACATACCTTCATGAAAAGAAGTAGAATATGACTTGAAGTCAGGATGCACCCCTGCCTTTCAAGTTTCTTTCCCATATGACCCTTTTGCCAGAGAGGGTCAAACTCTCCAACCAATGTCCCTTTGGCCCCAGGTCAGGATCGCTGGTAGAGTTTCATGACATTTGCATCGTGGAGTTTTTTCCACACCCTTCGCTCCAGATCGAAGTCATGATTGGTGTAGAAGATCAGACGTTTCCGCTCCTTGTCATAATAGTGATCCGAATACTTCTGGTAGCCATCTGTGATGAAGCCATAGGCGCTCACCTGGAAAAGCCAGAAGAGTCCAATGGGTTAGAGGGCTTCAGAAATGTGGAAGTCCGGGGCTGGAGGGGTGGGGGAAACAGAGCTTGGAGGGCATGGCTATCAGAGAGGGGAGCTGCTTCCAAATGGAGAGGTAAGTGTGGGGTCCCTACAGCTGGGGCAAGGGGCAGTTTGCCTCCCAGATTGTTGTATGTAGGGTTCCAGCCAGACCAAGCTAGGAACTTTCACTCCAAAGATTGTCCTTCTGCTCTCACACCAATGCCTTGGAAGTCAGGGGAGTTACGCTCCCAGCTGCACAAGAGGAGGATCAGGTCAGGTCTTCTTAACCCATAGGGGTGTTTTTGCCATTTGTCTTGTCCCCAAGTCACTGGGACACTTAGACTGTCTGCCACCAGGTCAGTCTGCAATGTAGTTCCTTAACTGGCCAACCCAGGTGCTGATGCATGACTCGTACCATGCCCCTTCATCCCATTCCTTCCCCCGTCCTTGAGCATACCCAGAGGCTGAGTGCCTTTCCCATGGGTCTTTCAGGAATATGATCTTCCTGAGACAATATAATCAGGAGACTTAAATCTTCAAGGAGTAAAATCCTAGGTTTGACAGACAGGTCTGTTTTGCAAGAAGCACCTATCCCATACATTTTTATTATTAGGCCCCATTGTGAGTTCCTCACTCAGTTTTCAGAGTCCAAACTCTCATTGTTTATGAAGCTTATAATACCCATTTTTCAGATGGAGAAATGGCAAAGTTAAGGGCCCCTGATTTTCCTTAGTGCTGAGCACTCACAACCCCAAAGGAAGCCCACAGGAGCTGCAGGTGCTCAGTGTTTTTGAAAACCAGGCCCTAAATGACTAACCCAAGCCCAGAGAAGAATTCGGTGGCAGAGCTGGATTAGAATGGAGTTCCTGGCTACCAGCCCCATGCTCAATCCACCATACAAGCTCCCTCTCACCAGCTAGGAACTACGGGACACTGCCTTTTGCCCATCCCAGGCAGTGTGGTGGGGATCAGTAGCCCTCTGGAGTCCTTACCCGGTCACAGAGATGGAGGGCAGTCAGCAGTAAGAAGGCCCCTGTGGTGGGTCTGTATAGTGCCCAGTAGGACTTATCCAGACTTTCGGATCTCAGAAACCTGCAGCAGGACATAAGGAGGAGGAGCATGGTCTCCAGGTGTGATGGTTTGATTGGGGAGGCAGCCTGTCCCTCCCCCTGTGTCTGATTCATGATGCACACATTCTGAAGGCCAGTGCTACCCACAGTATGGTGAGCATTTCAACATTGAGATAAGGGTCAGCCAACCTTTGATTCAGGTTTGGTCCAGTGCTTAATTTGTGCCAGGGCTTGCCAGGGCTGAGCCTTGGCACATCTAGGCTTGGCAGTTCATAGCCCCGGCACCTCTGGGCTTGCCGCTTCAGTTATGAAAGTACAAAAATTGCTTGAGCCCCAGGACCTCTTTCATTACAAATTAAGCACTGATTTGGTCCAACCACAAAATCAGGCCAGACAGCTGGAAAGTTGGGGGGGCTCTCTCACCCACATGCACCTCCACCCCTCTGAGATGCTGCACTCCCAGAGGCAGATTACGGTTTCCTGGGGCCCTGAGGCAGAGTAAGTGGGTGGCCCTCTCCCCACCCCTTCCACCTACAGTCCCCCCCATGACCCCCACCCTTTTGTGCCTCTTCCCCTGGGCCCCATCCCTGACCCACCCAGGGTCCCCCGGATTCTGCCCCCCCCCACTGTGGCCCCCAACCCGTTTACTCCTTTTTGCCCTCCCCATCACGTGGCCCCAAGACCAGAGAAGCTCTGTCCCTGTGCCACATCAGGGCCGCAGCAAGGATCCGGATGCTGGGGCTTCCCCCTCCACTCCCCGTGCTTCTGCGGCAGGACCAGGGTTGGGGCACTGTGGCTTCTCCTGCCCCACCTGCCTGGCACTTCTGCTGGAGTGTGGGTCGGGCATGGGAGTTTCCCCTGCCACCCTGTTGCTTCTGCCAGGGACAAACTCGGGGGCGGGGTGTGCGGGTACTGGGTCTTCCCCTGCTGTCCCACACCTGCTACCAGGGATGGGGTCGGAGTGGGGTGTGCTGGGTCTTCCTGCATCCCGCGGCTTCTGCTGGGGAGCAGGGTCAGGACATGGGGGCTTCCCCACCTGCCTGGCCGCCCAAGTTCTGGGCAGTGGATTTTTTCTGGGGGCCCCCAGTTGACCAGTGCCCCTGAGCATGGGCCCTGTGATTAATTTGCTACTGTGCACTCCAACAAGCCTTGACTCATCCTGACTCTGGGCTCACTATGTGCTTCTATAGATCTCAGAATTACTCCCCCAGGTGCCTAACAGGACTTACCGTCCTTTCCCCGCACAGAGGGGTGGGGTGTTTGTCCTGAAGATTGAGTGAATGAATAGCTCCATGATGCATGGAGTCTCATCAGGAAGTACCACCTCTGAAAACAACATGGGACTGCCACACATGGCTGCAACAATGGTGCCCCATCCATCAGAAATACTGGCTTTGTGGGGCTGGTGTCTAAAGTTGATCTCATCCATGACGGTATGATGCACACACATACATAGGGAGTCTCCTGGATAGCATTTACGGGGCGTTGCACTGGTCAGGTATCCCATGATCCTATCCACTTGTAGGACGCAAAGAGCAGTTGTAGAAGAGGCTCAGAGAAGGGGAATGAAAGCTGTTGGGGGCCCTGTGTGTTTTGTGTAATGATGCATTGATCAGAGACACGAGATAGGAAACAATAAAGTTCTAGCACTCTTTAGCTTGGAAAGGAGCAGAGTCAGAGGAGCTATGGCTGATGTCTGTAAAATAAAGGATGGTCCATTTGGGCTGCAGTTTGCCTTCCCAGGATCTAAGCACAGGTGGGTACTCAAAGGAATTGAAAGGCAACATGTTTTGAAGGGGGGGGCAAAGGAAGTAGTTTTTCCTACACATGGAACCTGCTACGTGTGGACGTTACCACGGCAAATCACTTTGTAGGTTTCTAAAAAAGATTAGACAATTATAAAAGTATAGCAGTGGCAATCACACTAGCTAGCGTAGTAATAAAAAACTATCCATCCTCATCCTTCAGGACACAGAATGCTGGTGGGGTCAGGAAGAAAGTTCATTTTAGGGGGTTTATGGTTTCTATTGAAATATCTAGCACTGGCCTCTGTCAAAAGCAGGACACCAGACAATTTGGCCCTGATCCTGCAATTTGACTTCAGAGGAACTCTGCGTGGATGCAGGGGTTCCACCTACACTGATCCATTGGCAGGATCAGGGCATTAATTTGTTCTGATGGGCCAAATTCAATACTCTTTTCTCTTGTATGTTGAAAAGCAAACTGCCCTGTAGTCATTCCCTCTCCGCCTCTCAGCTTCTTATGGGTGAAATCCACTCCTTGGTAGAGGGTCAGCATGAGGGCTAGACGACACTGAAGTTCTGCTTAAGTATTACTTGTGTTTGCTCTCTGTATGGGAGTCAATTTCACCCGCTATATGATTGGGATTGTGAGGCAGAGGGCGGGGATGAAAGAATGAAGAAGACAGAATCCAGCAAGCAGCCTTTCAGAGACAGTCTGACAAATAACCCCCTGCTACTGACCTGTTTTTCATGTATCTGAGGAAATCAGGGTGAATGACCAGATAATTGTCCAGATTGAAATCCTTACTGAATCTGTCCCGTGGTCTGGGTCTAGGGAAGGGATGGAAATAGGTGAGTGCTCTAACCACACATTTCACTTTGTGAAAATAATCAGGCCCCATCATGCACGCTGCTAAGAGATGAAACAGACAGAAATTATGCTAACTTATTCTGGAGCATTTCCCAGAACAGCGCAAAATCTTCACCTTCTTGTAGCTTTATAATATAAACAATTTGGGGCAGGGGCCATCTTTTCATGGCATGTGTGTACAGGAATTAAAACAATGGGGCCCTGATCCCTCAATGGGGGATAAAGGAAAAAATAACAACAATAAAGATGTGCCCATAATGGGTTTTTCATGTCACCGGCAGCTCTGAAAAGCTCAAAGAAAAAATTCAGATAGTGTCAAACTGAAACTGAATTTGTTTTAGAATTTTCAATGCATCAAAAAATTTATAAAAATACTAGTTTGGGGTTGAATAAAATGTGTAGATTGACCCAGAAGGAAATGGTTCATGTTGATGTTGAGATATTTTCCCCCTTTAAGTTAAAATAAATAAATGAATATGGTTAAAGGTGAATTCAAATCAAAAAGTCAAAACGTTTCATTTTGAAAATGTCAAAAAACATGAAATAAATGTTTCCACGTTTTCAGATTTTTCCTTTTTTGGTTTTTCCTCAACCAAAACAATTTGCCCAAATCTGCACAAACTTGGGAAATATTTTGGTTGACCCAAATCTGCAGTTTTTTTGCTGGAAAAAAGTTTCAGTTGAAAAACTTCACGCAGCTCTAAACAGCACATTTCATTCAGGAGAATCACAAAGTCTTTTACAAGCTACTGATGTACAGCTGCAGCATTCAGACACCCATCACTAACATGCAGCCACTTCAGGGGCAGCATGTGACGGCCGTTCCTGCAGCAATGCACAAAGGAGCAGATGGGAAGTCTGACTTCTCCAAATGAAATTACAAGGGGAATTTTTCATGCAGCTCTGCACAAACGGAGGTGAGGCTGCAGCAAGCTTCACTATTCAAGGACAGGGTATATGGCAGCCTGTTTTACCCATACTCATCCAAAAATCCCTTCCTGACGTTCTTGTTCAGCAGGAGAGCCTTCAGCCACTCAAAATCCCTCGTGCCCTCCAGGAAGTGAAGGTACTTGATCTCCTAGAAAACCCACCAAGGAAGAGTTAGTGGCTGACATGAGAGGGAGATGAGCATTAACAATTAATAGCAAACAAGAGCCCAGATGCGCTATGATTCTTGGGCACAGAGCCAAGGTCACCTGTTGCTAATTATATCCCCTGGAAACATTTTAAAACAATGTTTCATTTAGAAATGTAGCTAGATTTATTATAAAGAACAAACAAACAAAAAACAGTAAAAACCACCCCAAGAGAAAATGAACAAAAATTGTTTCAGGTCGACCTGAAACTAGTTTTTGGGGAGATTTTTCAGTTTGGCCACAGAACTGAAAAATCAATTGTTCACTCAGCTCCAGTCATGACCCCGATGTCTGTTCCCAACCCCCAGACTGACAACCTCTCAAGTCAGTTAGAAAAAATTAGATTCAATTGAACTGAAAAGTGATCCAAGGCCAACTTCCACCCCACAGCTTCCACTGGATTTTCCCCAGTAACCCAGACATCAGAGCAAAATTCAGTAATGTGATCTCACACCTGTATGGCATATTTCATCTCGAAGGTGCCCAAACCGCTATACAGTGATCAGCTATGAACACAGATCACATCATCCACCTCTGGGATTAATTACAGTAGCTGTTTAGCAGCCTACAACAACACTGCCTAGTGCTTTAGAATAGGAAGTGAAGAACACTATTTCAAACTGAAATTGCAGGTGGGTGGATAAGTAGATGAAACATAATCCGGGCACGACACTGGGATTAGTGCCTAGCTCTTGCCAAAATAAATGTAAATAGATGTTTAATGACCACAGATGGTCAGGGCCTCAGTATGATGTCTCCTCCCAAAGAGGCACATCCAGTATCGCATGGCACCCTACCACCATGCCAGGTCATGGCTGACTCAGACGGAAGAGCGATCCAACATAGCTTCTCTACAGCACTTGAGCGTTCCATGAAGACTTGCCATCCAAGTATTGACCCAACCCATCTCCGCTCAACTAAGGGAGCTGACAAAAATCACAGCACAAGGTGGCTGCAGGCCAAAAGCCTCTACCTTGGAGTGATATAGGGCAGAATGGAGTTGCATTAATGCCAACAGCTGGAACAGGTCACGGTCTTGAGTTGGATCCATGCCGTGCTACCGGCCGGGACAGAGGCCATGGAAGTGAGGAGCGTAGCAAGCCAGGGGTACTTTGCTTTACTGTGTTGGCTGGCTCAGAGCATTTCCACAGCACACTGCAAAACAACTAGAGTGACACAGCTTAGTGCAGTGCTCAGAACCCTGGGCTACCCCCCCAGCACTCCTAAGCCCAGCTCCTCCAAGGTGCCTCACTCAGTGGGAGATAGGGCCCTAAATACCTTTGTAGATCTGTACCCTCACACCTAAGTTGGGCTAGTGAAGCACCAGTTTGGCCATAGCTACTTGGAATGACTCAAGTGTCCCTTGCCAGTGTGGACACTTGACTGGGCTAACTCGGGTTCCCAGACCCAGGCGTCCAGACCTGGGCTAACTCTGCTGTGACCTCAGATGCTACCTCTGCCCTGTTGCCCTTCACATGGGTCAGGATCAGAAACGCAGGCCACAGGCAAAGCAGCACCTTGCCAAGGGCACGTGTACACACGTCACGTGCCTGACTTACTTTTCCCATTGGGATCTTGCTGAATTTGCTCCCCAGCGTCACAACAGAGGCCACCAAGGAGAAGGCTGTGAATCCATAGAAGGACGTTTTTGTTCCCACGTCTTTTTCGTAACCTTTGATCACGGCCCCACTCACCCTGGGCCAGAAAAATCAAACAGAATTGCAAAGTCAGCAGCGTATTGGTTGAATCACTGGGCTGGCATTCACAGCAGGACTGGGGGAACTGGTTTGGCCAAAATAACCTTGAGCCAAAACTACCATTGAACCTGAGCCATCTAGGAACCACCTCACACTCTGGGGTGGACAGCCACAGCGGGAAATGAATCCAGATGGAACCTTCCCTGAGGCTCAGAAACATGCTGTTCGCACTTTGTTTTGGACTCCCACCCACATTTTCACTTGCAATCTCTGCACTTGTGGGTCCCAGTGTGGCACTGGAAGTGATACAATACCACAGCCACAGCTATACTTTTTTGTCCCAGCCAGAAATAAGACGACCTGGGAATAGCATAATAAAGCCCGTCCCTATGAGATTTCCAGTCTGAACTACAGACCAGGGAGGTTTGAATAATGTTGAGCACAAAGGTTATTTAGCCTTGGACTTTGCAGGCCAGTAGCAATGATTTGGAAACATGGTTAAAACATGGCTCTGGAGTTTTTTTGTGGGATCATCTCTGTAAAGGCAGTAGACGGGTGTAGAAGGAAGTGGGGGGATAAAGAAAAGTGCATGATGGAGAAAGGAAAGTAACAGGAAGCTGCATCTCTTACCGGAACACGTAGTCATGGGAGTCGATCTCCTGGCCCATTCCAGAGTTGTTTAATATCCCACCATTCCCCACCACGGCACAGCTGATACAGGTCGGCCTCTGCCTGGTGTTGTTGGCCAGGAGGACCTGCTGGTAGGGGTTGGGTGGCAGCATCGTTATGACCTCCTTCACCACTGAAACACAGACAGGTGGTTTTCCATCAAGGAGGATGAGTGAATGGGGCATTTTGGGAGAGCTCTCAGGCTGGGAAGGGATCACAGAGAAAGTGCCATATGTGAACCAGCCTGTGGGCTGTCTAGCTTGTTATCCTGTCTCTAACAGCGGCCACATGGGATGCTCCAGAGGCCACACCTCCACATCTTTGGAAGGCAACAATACACCATGGAGGGAAATTCCTTCCTGACCCCAACTGGCAATCAGTTTATGGCCTGGAGCATGAGGGCTGACAGCTCACCTAACTGTTATCCTAACTAGCATGGCTGCTGCTGCCTTGCCTATTGGTATACTTGCCCATAACTTCTTGGATACTAAATACACTATTTACTTCAAGAGTCCCTCAACTAAAGGAGCCATCAAAAAAACACCATAGTCTTTGCAATGAAAAGAAACCATGGGCCCGATTCACCACTGCATTGCTCTTGTTTGACTTCAGTGAAATGCCATGCCTTCAGTGGGGTTATATGGGAGTAATGCAGTGGTGAATTAGGGCCCATGCCTCAGAATCAGCACAAAATTGGGAGCTGATGGAGGGGACTAGCCTGCTCCAGGAACTGACAAAGAAGTGGAAGACACCTCCCTGTCCCAGCAGGAGGAACCAGTGTTTGCCCAATGAGGGTGTGTCCCAGCTCGGAAGTTCTGTCCCTGCACTTCAAGTAGGGAGAGGGCACCTTGTGAGCATCAGGGAGGGAGCAGGCCCAGCCCAGCCCACCATCCCCTGCCGGACTCACATGAGTAATTCATCTCCATAAAGCCGAACGGTGGTTTGAAATGCTCCAGACGTTCCCACTCGTTGTGATTGAAGTGTCTCCTGTCTATGAAGAGCGTGATGTTGGGCAGGAAAAGGTCCCTCAGCCAGGCAGACTTGGTGGCTTTGGCCCTCACGGCATCGGGGCAGCGCTGGAAGCACAGAAGACAGGGTTGCAAGGAAGCAGACTAGGGTTACATGATGGCCACCATCTTGGCCGCCACATCAGGGACTGAGCTAGGGCCTTCATGCTGCAGCAGCTAAGAGCCAAAGTCTTCCAGACGCAGGGTGAGCTAGAATACCCACCCACCCAGGGGCACTTGTGCTTGTCTCGGAAAAATGCCATTATGGTTTTATGATGCAGTGGCTGACCAGGTCTTGCTGAATGGGCTTGCTGCCCCCTGCCCTGAATGAGGCCTCCGTGGCCTTATGCTCCTCGACACAGAGCTCATGCCATGCACAGCTGGACGTCCCCTTGCACGAGCTCTCAATGTGCATATCTGCCCAGGCCCTAACCACACCTCCTTTCCTTGGAGCCACTCCCCACTTCAGCCTCCCAATCAGTCACCGTGGTGCACATCCCTTTACAGCTGCTTCCACTGGGTTACATGCCTCCCTGCTTTCTGCATCTCTTCCCACAGTGCAGGCAGCTGTCAGCTCTGAATTAACCCGTTTTAAAAACTGAAGATAAAAGCATCACTCCCTTCAGTGTGCTTCTACTTGCAATGACCAGGAGTCACCTGTTTGCGTGCAGTAGCAACAGAACCCTGCACCTGATCAGTTCAATCCTCCCCTACCGTTACAGGCAAAGAGCAGCTGTGGCCTGGCTGATCTTGAGCACAAGCTGACTATATGGCTGTTTGCAGCACTGCTCTTTCAGAAGTTGCATCTCATGCAACTTGCAGGCCAGCCCTTCCTTATGTAACCCACACACCTCCTGAGTGTGGTGTTGGGTCCCCTCTAGTGGCACCGAGACCACTTACAGATTAATGAGTCTGCTCTACAGCCTTAGCTAAGGGCCACATGGCTTTTAGCTCATGCAGTAGAGGCTCATGCATTTAGCTTCAGTAGGGTTACCATACGTCTGTATTTTCCCGGACATGTCCAGCTTTTTGGTTCTTAAATTGCCGTCGGGGAGGAATTTTTAAATATCTAAAAACGTCCAGGATTTTGCCATTATTATTTTTCCCCAAAGAAGAGTTGATCATTCAAGAAAGAGAGTGAATGTTGATCATTCAAGAAAGAGAGTGAATGTTGATCACTTGAGAGAGTGCCCGCTTTTCCCCCCTCGCTCCCAGCGCTTGCACCGCGAAACAGCTGATTCGCATGGCTGGGAGGGTGGAGGGAGGAGGGGGAACGCAGTGCACTCAGGGGAGGAGGTGGGGCCGGGGCGGGGATTTGGGGAAGGGGTCCAATGGGCAGGGAGGGGGCGGAGTTGGAGTGGGGACTTTAGGGAAGGGGTTGGAATGGGGGCGGGGAAGGAGTGGCATTAGGGTGGGGCTGGGGGGAGTGTCTTCATTTTTGAATGTTCAAATATGGTAACCCTAAGCTTCAGCGGTTCCCTGGTTTGATCCCGCCTACACCCAGCTCAATTCCTCCTTTCCAGCAAGTTAGGGCCCTGGGCTTAGGAGGCTGCCTTAGGCCGGCATTGTAGCAAATCTCACAAGCCACATCACCCCTTTAGGCTGCACTTTGGGCAGCTCAGCAAAGTGAGTGCTGATTGGCAGGAAGAAACTTCCCAAAATCTAGTTACTTCCTGCAGCAAGTTGGCTTTAAGCCCCAAGCTTCCGTGTGCAGCTCCACATCCCTGAAGCTTTACAGCCTAGTCAAGGATTACTGCAGTACACAGTGGGTTGAGTTCTGAGGCTATAGCATTGACTGGAAGATTAACTAAACTCTGCACAAGGCAGTGCGCTAGTTAAAGGCACCTTAATGCTTGTAGGGCAGCTGCTCAAGCCTCCCCTGCATTCATGCTCATCAGCACTTTTCAGATACGCAGGGAAATCATTGCGACATACCCTTGACTGTGAACGCTGCAGGCGTTCTTTGGAAAGCTCATGGAGGGGCCACAGACGCTCACAGCCAGACGCTCACAGCCAGTCGCCTTCGGATCCATGAGACTCCCACCTCTGCCACCCAGTGGTAGGTCAACAAACCACAAGGGAGATGTGGTCAGTCTAATCCATGGGTTGGCTGGAGTTACACGTCCCCTTTTGTGGCCCCTCCACACAGAAGGTGAGTCTGTTACTCAACCATCACATGAACATAGGGCAAAAACTGGATTGGGTGGCTGCCTGGAGAGTTCTGTGTCTGTGAGATTTTCATCCCTGGTTCTGCACGCTGACAGCATCTACTGTCCAAGGCTCCTCAGATAATTTCACTAGCACTATGGCCTCACTCCACTAATGTGAGTTATTGTTATTTGTATTAAGGTAGCACCTAGAGATCAGTGCCACTAACACACAATCAGGCAACCCCTGACCCCAAAGAGCTTACAATCTAACTAGTCAAGATAGCCAAGAGTGGGAGAAAGGAAGAATTATTATCCCCATTTTACAGATGAGAAAGAGAGGTGAAGTGACTTGCCCAGGGTCACACTGAAAGTCTGTGGCAAAGCTAGGCATAGAACCCAGGGCTCCTGAGCGCTACCCTCATTTAATGGCTATAATCACCAGAGCCTCCTTCTTCTTGAGTTAGATGAGTATTAAGTCATGTTACAGGTGGGGAAACAGAGACATTGAACCAGTATGAGCTGGACTTTCAGTGGTGCTAAGCACCCACAGCTCCCATTGATTTCAGCTGTACATTCTGAGAAACTCCACTGCCTTCCACCGAGATCAGACTCCAGCCTGGTGAATACTGAAGGCAATGGGGACAACCACGGTGTGTGCCAGTGTAACCCCGACAGACCCCAGTCGGCGGCGGGATCGAACGTGGGGCCTTGGGAGCTTAGTGCATGAGCCTCTACCGCATGAGCTAAAAGCTAACTCACTCTTAGCTAAGGCTGTAGAGCCGACTCATGTGATCTCTCTCTTTAAATGGTCTCGGTGCCACTAGATGAGACAACACCACAAGCAGAAGGTGTGTGGGTTCCAGCAGGTTCCAGCTACTAGCCGCCTCTGTGCACAGGTGGATTTCCTGAATAGCTTTGAAAGCTGCAAATGAAGACTAATGGTCTGGCAGAGGCCTGGAAGGCATCCGCAACCCTCTGAGCCCAGCAATGGCAAAGCAGGAAGGACGGAGGGCAAAGTCCCACTTGACCCTGCTTCGCCAACAGAGGAAACTCTGCGCTGTGTGGGCAAGCGCTGCCAGTCTCCTCTCTTGTGCTAACGAGGACACACCTAATTCTATTTGCTCGGTTTTTATGAGTGCAGCGAAGAGAACAGTGCAGGATGTTCCTATAGGCCTGCTGCCATTCATACAAATACTGTATCAACAGCAAAGTGTTGTTTAACATCTAGCAGTTTGGCCTCTAGCGACTCAGGTCTTTCCTTCTCTGCCGGCAGCTTCATTACACTGCTCTAGGTTTAGAGCTTGTCACAACTCCTAAATTCACACAGGGCCAGCGTGGCATAATAGGTGGGTGGATGATTTCTAGGGGAAAACCCAGTGAAGCAAGATGTGCAGGAGATGGTGAGTCAGTAACAAGCACTGCTTCTCCCCTGAGACTCACTATCGGAATCTATACATCCTTAGGGGCTGAGTGATGGATCATATTTTGGGGAAAAATGACGAGCAGTCCTTGTGGCACCTCAGAGACTAACAAATTTATTTGGGCATAAGCTTTCGTGGGCTAGAACCCACTTGAAATCTAAAATTTGAGGTCCTGACATGTGTTCATTAAAGATCCCCTGACACTTTTTGTAAAAGACTCTGGGGATGTCATCCCCCCTGTGCTGGCCAAAATCCAACGTGAGCAATTAAGTTCTGCCTAGTGAAATTTTGTGTAGTTTTAGCTGAATAAAGTGTCCTTAACTTCCTGTTGTTATACCAATAAAATAAAAACCAGCAGGATCTTATTAAAGGGAAAAAGGCAAAATACCACATTTATTGTGAATACAGAAAGAATCATAGTAAGCAGTTAGTTCTAGTTATAACATTCCATTCAATCTCATATTTATTCACACATTCATTCATACAAACACACACACACACAGGTTCTGCAAGGTTGTTATCATAGTTACCAGTGTAAGGGTATTGCAAAGAAACAGTTAGCCAGATCTATAACTGAAAAGTACCTGGAGGTGGCTTGTACTTTTTGGATAACTTGTGTCATATCTGCCACGATGGGAGCCATGGGGATCAGGTAATGTACTTAAGGCTGGGCAAAAGGGATCACACACTAGAGTCGAAGTGGACTGGACCTTACTCCATAGTTGATCGCCTCAGCCCTCTCATTTATCGCATAGACAAGAATGGGAAATTAAAATGGGTTCACGTTTCACAACTCAAGCTGTTCTCATGACTTAATCCTCTCACACTGTAATTGTATTTTCAGACACAACACCCTGATAACAGTTGTGAACCAGGATCTGCAGACGTGGTGCGTTTATTTTTCATTCCTGCAGGCACGAAAGACTGCTGCTTAAAACCGCCAGCTCTGATCCTTATCAAAAGGGCAAAACAATGCCTCCAAGGAGATGGAAACCAGAGCCACAACAGACGCGGCAGCCCCCGTTCTGGATCAAAGCGTTAACCCTACTTACAGTGGTGAAAACACAACACTCAGGCGCTTCCACGCCCATCAATAACAATGATATCCATGCTCCGGGATACATGGGACAAGGTAAATCAATTCTCACTGCCTTACTAATACATGCACAAGCCAACAACACACCATGGCTTCCACCACAAGAGACAGACATTCACTTAAGATGGGTTGATTTAAAAACTAATCTCACATTAACAACTTTAGGGGAAACACATGTATATATTGGAGAAGGGGAACTGGGGCTACAAGTAAATATCTCAGTCGCCGCAGGAAGGAAAAAACATTGGATGGTGGGGGTACGGACGGCAGGATATGTGGGAGATACCACCATATTTTCAGACTACCCCTCGCTCCCTTATATATGGGAGGGGTTTATAAAATCCGGGGACCTTGTAACCGTAATTGTAGTCTACTGCCCAAGTCACACACATGCAATGACATTCCCAGATGGGTGTGAATGGCCTTGGGAAAAAGAATATGTGTTTATAAGAAACACCCCGGTAGAAATGGCAAAACCAGCGTTATTTAAAACCCAGACTACCCCAGTAAAAGCCTTGGTGAGCCCCCTGCTGGTAAAAGTAAGAATTGACATGGATTGGACACGACTAAATGTATCAAAAGTAGAGCCCAAGTGTATGCCTTTTTCTCTCCCCATACTGTTAGCCTGGATAAAGACACATAAACTGTCCCCTCCAGATACCCCTCACCCCAGAACTAAAAGAGACGTTATGGATACCATGCTAGGCGGGTTCGGAGCAGGAGCAGGACTTGCCAACTCAGTAGATTTGGAAACTATTAAAAACAAATTAAACTCCCTGGCTCAACTACAGGACAACCTGATACAAAAACAAGTACATGCCAATGTAGACTTGGTCCAAATTGGTTTGGGCAACTTAAAAGCGCAGTGGAATCTCTGGCAATGGCTCAATACTACCACATGGCTTATCCATAAGAAAAAAAATTATTAGAAATAGGAAACTACACAGCCATAGCTATGGGATGCACTGAAATGCAGATACTTGCACTAGCTACTTTGGAACACAAAATGTTCTGGGTCATATTGGGAAATATTAAGGGTTTGATGCATTTGTTAAAAAAGAAAGAGATCATTGTTTGACACTTATCAATATGAATGGATGCAATATGTTTCCAGTATTGTAAACCAGACTTGTTAATGGGAGAAATTGTTGTCAAAATTGCACACTAACAGTCCCTGGAGGCAAAGGTATTGAAGGTTAACCCACTCCCCATATTACACATGGGATCCTTCTGGCTACCCTGGACCTTGAGCCAGTGGGCTGGGGAGGGAAGGAAGCTATTGGACACTAGAGGTTGTACCGAATGGACTCCTCAAAAGTGGGTGTGCCTCACCTTGCCTGTTGCCCCAGAACCTTGTAGTAAAGATACATCACTAAGATCATGTATGTGGCATGAATTGGAATCACAAACTCAAATTGCCTCACAGTACTTTCTCTTGAATAGGCTACATAGAAAGTGACACTGACAATTATAAATCTTAGTGTCAAAAGGGGGATTATGTTGAATCATATTAAAGAAGTTCTGTATTACAATCGCAAATGAGTTTGATTCCCCATAGTTTAAATTCCAGGGTATTACTAATTAAGAGGTCTCTTGGTTTTTGGTACTGTTTCTCTCCCTCTATGTGTGAAACTTGCAAGCTGCTAATTGTGTTAGTACATTCTAAGACAGAGTCTGTTCTCAAAGCAATTCACAGAGAGAGAGACTCAAAGCAATACTCTAACAACAGAAACAGCACCCAGAGACTCCCCGCCCTTTTGTCGTATTAACAATTGTGATTAAAATAGAGATAGAGGATGGATGTGGATGGATGCTTGGTGTGGATAATAAGTGAATGATCAGGGAGGTGCCAGCCTAAGAATCCAGTGTCCATCGGCTGAAGAAGGCGTCAAGTGGAAATAACCAGAGGACCCCCCGGAGGGCAGACTGGAATCCACCCAACAGCCTCAAGAATGGGAGAACCAAAGAACAAGATAACATCTTGGAGCCGTCAGGAATGTGCTATCTGCGATTGATTCAGCAACAGCATGATGAAGCAATTCCCATAGACTGGCATAGGAAGAAATTCCTATAAAAATAGACTCTAAAAAGTGAGAACTTTGGGGTCTGATTCTGCAAACCAACTTCCAGGAGCATCAGATGAGCATCTGACAAGGCCCTGCTCCCTCCTCATGTCCAGGCCACCTGGCCAGTGGCTTGGCATGAGCAACTCTAAGGCTGGTAACTATGATAACAACCTTGCAGAACCTGTGTGTGTGTGTGTGTTTGTATGAATGAATGTGTGAATAAATATGAGATTGAATGGAATGTTATAACTAGAACTAACTGCTTACTATGATTCTTTCTGTATTCACAATAAATGTGGTATTTTGCCTTTTTCCCTTTAATAAGATCCTGCTGGTTTTTATTTTATTGGTATAACACTGTCATAACCTGCTACCCAGTGTCACTTTGTGCTGGTCTGCCAGCCGCTGCTCTCCACCCCAGAGGGGGCTGCATTGGAGCAGTGGGCACCGTGATTTCTATGGGGACAAAGTTAATACTTTCATTTGGGGATCCATTTGTGATCCAAGAACCCCTTAATAACAACTGGCAAGGCGGGTTACAGGATCCTGATTCTGGTATGTTCATTCTGGTTCCCCGAAGAATGTCATGGGAGTTCTTACTGGTCATTCATATCATTGTGACATGTATGTACAGATACTGTTGGAGTTATGTACATGTACTGAAAATATGTTTTAAAGTCTGGATCAAGGCGGAGCTGACAAGCAGGCTTTTTGTCAGACAAGGGATGTTGATTCACTGGGTTCGCTGTTGAAAAGTAAATTAAGTACTGTCTCATTCACAGTGGGTCTCCCATCCCCTGTCTATGCTGAAAGATTATAAGAATTTCAGAAAGGAAAACACAGTGGGGGAAGAGAACCTTATATGGAGATATGCTTCAAAGGTTTGCTGGACTATATTTGGGGAACAAAAAAGACACCCCAGCATCCTGCACCTAGAAAGTAAATGGGCAGTGCATTTACATTCATGAAAATGTGATCACAACCAGATTTGGTTGGAAACATTGCAGTAGACTTTGGGTGAGATAAGACTTCTTTAGACAGGAGGTTAGCCTGTTAAGTTTTGTCTCTATGATTTTGTTTTATGTGTAACCTTTTGTTTCCCTCATCCAGAGGTGAAAGTAAGCTGGTATGGTCCAGTATGGTGTGCCGGACCGGACCGGCTTCCCCAGGCTGGCGATTTAAAGGGCCCAGGGCTCCCTGCAGTGGCCGGAGCCCCGGGCCCTGTAAAGCACCACCCTAGCCCTGCCACCGCTACCCCGGGGCTCCGGCAGCCGGGCTTGGGCAGCAATTTAAAGGACCCGGGGCTCCTGCCGCTGCAGGGAGGATTTAAAGGGCCCAGGGCTCCAGCCGCCACCACCACAGCAGCAGAGCTCCGGGCCCTTTAAATCTCCCCTGAGCCCCAGGACTCCCAGCCGCCTCTGCAGCTGGGAGCTCCGGGGGTGATTTAAAGGCCCCGGGGCTCCCAGCCGCAGCCGGAGTGGGAAAACAGGGATCCACCAGGCAGTACGCTGGGGCAGAGGGATTTATTTCTGGTGGGATAGAAGAGGGATGGGGGGGGAAGGATTTCTTTCTCTCTCTTTTTTTTTGCAGCAAAATAAGGACTGCCCCTCCTAAATATATACAATTGGCCTGTGTCAGAGGCTAATCCCAGGGTTGGGCTGGGCAAGATGTGTTAAGGTGATATATATATCTCAAAAGTTATATATTAAACTTCATTGTTTTGAATGAAAGGCCAAATTCCGTCCTGCCTTACAATCCACACATGCCTCCTTCATTTGAGCTCGGGGCAGCTCCTCTGCATGTAGCTACCTGTCCATGCCAGAGGCTAATCAAGAAATCCATGAAAATAGGTGACTTGGAAAAACTAATGTGGAGGCTAACAAGGAGGTAGATTTATAGGAGACCATCCAGCTGTATACGTGGCCAGAACACATAGTAATCCCTTACCGACTGTGGGGCTGAACTGTCCAAGATATAGCGGTCCTCAAAATCCCACCGAGGCTCGGACTTGAAATCGGCAATCCTCAGCCTTCTCTTTTCTGCCACTGTAGGAGCCTGAGTCGTGACATTCTGCATTGTGGGAGGGGCTATGTTCTGCATCGGGAGGCTGGGATGAACCTTGCCTTTTGTAGTGGGTCTCAGCGCACCGGGCTTAGTTGACACAGGGGCCTTTTTTGGTTTTGGTTTTGCTTGGTCTTGGGCTATGGTCTTTGCATTGGCTTCCTTCCCCTTGGGTGCTGGTGGGGCACTCTTATCCTGAGTTTGCATCTTATTGGATGCTGATATTACATTCTTATCCTCTGCTTGCTCCTCCGTGGCCTCTCCTTTATCTGACGCCATTCTCTTAACCATATCTTGCTCCAGCCTATTGCTGTCTGTGCCCAGTATCACATTTAGCTGGCTCGAGGAATCCCCTTCAGTGGGCACAGTGTGGAGCTTGCTCTGTTGGATGTCTCTTTCTGGCATTTCTTTGGCATGTTGCAAATAAATGAGTGGCCTAAATGTAATAAAAAAAAGGCAAATATACCACTATACCAGTCGAATGAAGCCCCCTCTATCCCCTCCACCACATTAATGGCTATCTTACCCTCCAAGCATTTTATGACACTAGTGAGTATAGCAATTGCCCTCTCTAGGGCTCCACTTTTATAACCTTCATTGAGTTTCTGCAGGGAATTGTCATTATGCTTTGCTCAAAGGACACCTGCCTGAACTTGATCTTGTTTGTGATTTAGCCATAAAATGGTTATTCAGCATCTTGGACCCATCAGATATGAAATCATGTGATTTGCCCCCCTCCGCCTATGAAATCAATCATACGTAATTCAGACTATTACACAGGTGGTTTTTGAAATATTAATGACCGTAGCTGGAAATCAATGTAGAGGAAGGGAGGAACCTATTTGCAGCTAGGCACAATCCATGACAATCATCCTAGGACACTGACACATCCCACATGAAAGAGACAGGACTATGGTGTAGTAAGCAGAGCAAAACCTTTATTCAGGATACTGGACAAACACTATACCTGTAGCCCACTTGCTCTCCAGCTCGCATTCTTGCTGAGTAATGCTGATGCACCTCACAATTCCCGGCCAGAATGGGTCTGACTCCTGGTCCAGATTTGGCATCCATGGACTAGATTGCTCACTATACTGTTGGTACCGCAGCTTTTCAATACTTAGAAGAACAAGCACGATGTTGGGAAGAGGTCGTCTGATGTCTAGAAAGACTTCTGTGCGGGCTGCAGGGATACTAGCTACACACCGCTTGACCGAACAAGGTGCAAATGTGGGGGCACTATGGCCCAATTCTGCAACGCTGGATGTCCCCTACTCATACTGAAGTCAATAGGAGGGGATGGTGCTTAAGACATGGCAGGATGAAGCTCCTTGTGTGACCCAGAGCCAAAATCAGGGACACAAGGAAGTGATTCGAGTAAGGTAAGGTCAGAATGAGGTGAGATTTGTTCCTGTAGTTTAAACGTCACTTTCTATGCAGTCTGCATTTCCGAAGTATGGAACGCACAGCAGTCTGATTCAGAGAACAGGGACTGCTCCTTCCTTGCAGACTGCAGTGACTAGGGACCTCTACTGAGCTGGTGCAGAGCACAGATAAATGCTTGTTTTAAAGAGAATCATCAGTAGAGCCAAAATGTATATTCGCATGCGATCCGCAAACAAGGTACACGGATGCGGATAGCCCCCGATTTGCAGGGCTCTAGCAATCAGTCCCAATGTGACCAGGTACATCCCAGCCTCCCAGTGAGCTCAATGGAATGTTAGTGGGCAATAGCAGCAAGGCAGAAGGAAAACAACAAAAGGGGATGAAGACACAGCACCAAATCCTGCCCTTTGGGGATTACAAGTGAAAACCCGTCTTGCATGTGTACTATAAATGCTGTGTCAGCCCAGGGCAGGGAGTAGCAGCAGCTGGATGGGCTTGTCATACAAGGGATCTCCAGCCACCTGCAAGCAATGGGGCAAAGCAGCTTCAAAGTCACAAAGTTTCATCTTTCACACAAATGGGCTTCAGGCTGCTGGCTCCACAGCATGGGTCTGCCTCTTCCTGCAGTTTCAGTTTCACTCCAGATTGACTGTCACAGCCGGCTCATGGACAGCCAGACCTAGTGGTCAGAGCCAGGGTCCACAGTCATGAGACAGGAGTCAACAGTTGGTCATGTCAGGATACTGGGATATCAGAAGCAGGAGACAAAGTTGAGATCAGAACCATGAATCGGTAACCAGAGTCAGGCTGGGTCAGAGGCAGGAGGCAAACTGAGATCGGAACCACAAGTCAGACACCAGGAGTCAAGCCACGTTGGAATGCCAGGAAGCCAAGCCACGGGAGCAGGAGCGGGAGGCACCCAATCCAGAATAGGGTGACTCTCAGCTGCATGGACAACTTCCTGTTCCTGTGCTGGGTTTATGTAGAACCTGTGGACCAGCCAGGACCTCCAGCATTCTGCCAGTCAAGTTCCAGGCCTGGAGTCCTCTGGCAGGGTTCAGCTTTTGCCCTAGCCACTGTTAGCAGGTCCCTGGGAAGCAGGTTGGAACTTACTGGCATCTAGAGTCTAAGAAGACCCGCAGTTCCTGATGCTGACCAATGAATGGCCTGAAGTCCTACGGACTTAGCGGCATCGAGGCAGCTGAGCGGGTGGATGTAAAGATAGCAGGCCACGTTTTCAGCTCATGTGAATTGGCAAAGCTCCACTGACTTCCTGGGGGAAGCCCAATGCGCCTCAGAGGTGTAACGCCTCCTGTAGCTACCCACCGTGCAGAGGCGCTTGCCTACTGCACCCTCCTGCAGGAAGGCAGCCAGAGTGCATGGTGTGCTCATCTGTCATTTACCAGCACACACTGGAACTGCAGTATGCAATAAAAAACCCCATAGCAGTTAGCTACATATACCGCACATTGCAGTACCCTGCAACAGGGCACATGGCTGGCATCCTGGAAGGAAGGCAGAGATGGACTCTAACAAGGTCACCTTGGCACAACCCACATCAAGTTTGCATTAGGGCAGTGGTCAGGGGCGCTGGAACAATTTGTACTGTGGGGGTGCCGAGTGGCATTGAACCAAACTGGAAACCCTGTTGATGATGGAAACCACTTGAAGTCAGGGGTCCTTTTGTGGTTTTTGAAGAAAAATGATCAAAATGAAAATTTGTGGGTTTTTAAAAATGCATAACAGTTTTCGTTTTTATTTTTGGAAGATTCCCTCACAGTTAACAGTGTTACTTTCTCACACATTTTTATTCCCCACCCCTTTTAAGTGGAAAAAAAAGTGAGGGTTCTCCCCCCACACATGTTCTCTAAAACCCCCTCCTCCCTCGAGATCCTTAAAAACCCTTAAAAAGCCAAAACATTTTTTTTTTTGGACAAATGAAAAGTAAACAGGAAAACCAACAAATGAAACAAAAATGACTTTCTGTTTTTTGACCATCCGAGATTTTTGCAACGTGTTTGCAAAGTGCTTTGAGCTCCTGAAATGGAAGATTAAAATGGGGCTAATCCTGGCCCCCACAATGCAGGACTACAAGGCTCAGAAAGCTAAGTTACCATGGTAGTTCCACGGTTCACATGGGGTGTCATGTCATGGAGAGGCTATGCAGGGGGACTCCACAACATCTGTGCAGAGCACTGATCCATTGATCTCTGCACTGGTGCGGACATGGGATTTGCAAACTATACACTGACATTTGCTTTTAAAGATATATTGGTTTTAAGGAAACGTTGTTCCATGAGGCTTTACTGTATACAGGTAATAACTACCTGGGTCGTATGTCAGATACTAGTGCAGAATGCTTCTGTCTTTTGGCTCGTCAATCCAATGGCTTCGTACACACGTCATTTGACATGCAACAGGCAAAGGGACACATCAGCAAGTCCCCAGGAATTTTAGAGGGGTTACATTTTTTAAAGGTTTGAAATACATAGTATTAAATGCCTACATTTTCAGAAATAGCCTCCAATACAGTGTGAGCATAATTACATCCATTTGGAAGCCCCACTGCCTGATTTACAGATACAACCAGGTAATTAGGTCTTTAAATGGATACAGCTGTAAGTGCCATTATTTCCACCTGCAGTAATGAAGGCTGGGGTGATGCCCAGCCAAAAAATCAGAGCCAAAATGTTTAAGTTTTTCTTTAGAAAATCCACTGTTGTCTGCATGCTTTCGAAAGTGACAGACAAGCCTTGTCCACATAGGAAAGTTTTTTGGTATAAATTAAGGTGTGAACTGAAATCAATATAATTTTACCAGTATAACTTCCATGAGGATACAGTTGTTCCAACATAAACCATCTGTTTGATAGGAGAGTTGGAGAGGGCTGAGGGTTTGCATCCCATAGGGATGCAGGGGTGGAAAGGAGTTTCAGGCGGTGACTGTGGAGTTGATTTCCTGTTGGGATGATTATTTTAATGCTGCTAAGATTATATTTGGCAGCTTGAGCCCTTGGACAGGAGTCTTTTTATCATCTGAAATCTAAAGAAAAGAAATAAAAGTGGGTTTTTTTGGTTTAGTTTATCTTGCTTATGGGTTTTAAGGTAAACCAAACAAAGCCATACTTACTCTGGAATAAGAGTGTCCACATGGAGGGTTATAATGAGGTCAGTTTAAATTCACACCTTAGGTTATACTGAACAAACTTCCTAGCCCCAGTCATTGAACTTAACCCAATACCTCTTCACTTCCACAGTGAGGACAGATCTTGGTGGGTTAAGCTGCATGGAACAGTTCCTTTGGGAAGGATCCTACAACTGTACTGCTGGGTTACTTTCTATAATATCATTATTTGCATTATATGAGTGCCTTGATTCTGAATCATACTTTCCTTTGTTTGTTTGTTTGTTTGAGAGATTACCAGTATGATTTTGGCTCAAACTCCAAATCAAATCAGTTTGCAGAGCAAATGTTATGATTCAGCTGCCCCAAACCTAAAGGGGCTCTTTGCATCTCATTCTGCACAGAGGCAGGGTTCTTTCCCTGGCTCCCGAAAAGAACTGAATTTGGAGAGTGGCAGAGTTGGCTTGGATGGTACTTTAGCCCTTGAAATGTAGTCTGCGTGCTTGTTTAGATTAAGGAAATTTGCACTACCTGTATATTGATTCCCTACTTTGCATGAGTGCAAAGTGTTTGCATTAAGGGTTTGCTTTGATGCAAATTTCCCTAGATTAGACAAGTCCTGAATTAGAGGTTTTAGAAAACATTAAATATATTTTATGCATAAATAACAATTGTATTAATGGAATATCTGCAGTATTTTTGATATAAATAATGTTTTAATTTAATATTTAGATATCTATAGTCAAGAGACATGATGATATACATAATGTACCATCTTTCTTGTACCAATATTACTCAGATCTTGCTTTCTAGCGCAAGGTTTTGGGTGTGTACACGCACACATCAGTATATAAAAGAAAAGGAGTACTTGTGGCACCTTAGAGACTAACAAATTTATTAGAGCATAAGCTTTCGTGAGCTACAGCTCTTGCATCCGATGAAGTGAGCTGTAGCTCACGAAAGCTTATGCTCTAATAAATTTGTTAGTCTCTAAGGTGTCACAAGTACTCCTTTTCTTTTTGCGAATACAGACTAACATGGCTGCTACTCTGAAACCTGTCAGTATATAAAAGATTTCACACTTAGAGCTAGAGAGATTGGAGAGAGTACATTACCTGGATAGTTTGTCTTAGAAGGAGCTGGATCTCTTACCTGTGAAGACATTTTTCTGAAAAGCCGAAGAAGGAGCTAAAAGAGACAACAAGGAACAGAAAGACTGTCACAAAAATGGGCCAGAAGATCAACCGGGGCACCTTCACAAATCTCCTCCGGAGAGATCGCATGGCCTCGCTTTAGGCAGGACTGGAGCTGTTCCCCTTCCCTGCTACAGGTGTACTGCACAATGAACAAGCAGGCCGTGTGACTCCTTAGATATCCCTGGCCGGTAGGTGCACACCCCCTGTCCCAGCATGCAGGGATGGTAATAAATTCTGCATGCTGAGCTTTCTCTGCCAGAACAGAAGGCTGGGTGTTGGTTTTTTGGTTTTTGTTTTTTCCATGCCAACACTGTAGCAGCCTTGTGAGGATTCTGTGGGCTTGGCCGGTCCGTGGGCAAACACCTATTGTTCAAACTTGCTTTGCCAATGTTTCTTGATGGTTGATGTAAAATAAATACCCCCCTTCAATCTGTTTCAGGCAAAAACAGGAGCAAATAAAAGCTCGTGTGAATGACGAGGTTAACCATAGCTACACTTAGAGACTATTTTTCAGAACAGCACCTAGCTGTGGGTTTGGTCAGTTCTAGTGATGTCTATATTATTACACTAGTGCTTGGAAGCGCCAACCACAATCAGGCCCCTGTTGTGCCAAACACTAAACAGACACATAGTAAGAGACCATCCTTGCCCCCCAAAGCTTACATAGATGCCAAGGCCATAGGTCTGACCTCTTTATAACCCAGGCCATAGTTTTAAACATGATCCAAAATGACTCATAAGCAAGTTCAAAGTTAAATCCATTATAAGGCATCAGAAATTTGATTGTTAAAGTGAATTTAGTACTTGGGTAAAGTGCCACATTAACAGGCCTGGAGGTGGAAACTTTCTCTTCCTCTCGAGAGCAGGCACAGTTTCAGTGGTGGCAATGCAAGCTTCCCCCAGCCTCCCCCGCTGGGCCTACCAGTCAGACTGCTAATTCAGTAGGTCCAGCTGTGGGACTGGGGTTTGAGCGACGGGCTTCTGTCCCACTGGGGATTGTGTTGAACGTCCACCTCTCCATTTCATAGAGGCCGCCGCTGAACAACAGCTTATGATCACAACTGAGTTAGGCCACGGCTGGATTCGAATCTGGGTGGCCTACGGCAGAAGTGAAAAGGTCTAGATGGTGCTAGCACTCCCATAAATCACCCCGTTGGGCATGTTAAAGCCATGAAAGTCCAGGTCCCTGAATGGCCGGATCCAGCTTGGCACATTTGTGTTGTGAAGTGTCAGATTTTGGTGGGTCCCCTGTGCAAACATGCCAAGGTACAAAGACTGAATAGAATTTCTCCCTGTCAGGCCCCAGTGATAGCAACAGTTTAGAGGGTGAGGGGCTGGGGGAAGGGATTTGTTTTACCATTATAACAAAAATACTTCCTCCTAGCAATGGCCAAAAAGCAAAGTCAGCAAGCTGGTTACAACTGCCTCTTCCTGGGAGTGGTTGTATCCTGGTCCTGAAGGATATATGGATGTGTAGCTAAGACAACAGTATTCACCCTGTGAATTCGAAATGGAGGAGGAGTATCTGAGACTTGATACAATGGGCTGGGGCCATTATCTTCCAAAGATAAAACCATTTACTCTTTGGGCTGTTGAGCCACATGGAGAATTATCATCTCTGGCAGGGGTGATTTAGCAGTTTGGAAAGGGGGAGTGGTGAACTCCTCCAGAGTTAAGGAAATCATTCCAAAGCTGTTTACATTTTCACAGGGGCATTTTAACAAGCGGCCCTCCCTGGTGCAACACTGCAGTTAATCCAGGTTTCATGGCTGTACTGCCGAATATGTGGCGCACCTAACATATCTCACAAACTTTAGGAGAACAACACTGCACCGCCATGCTTTATCAAGGCATCTCCAACACTTTTCTAAGACACTAAAATGACAAAAACTCTGTGTAATTATTGAGCTGTGCAATCCCCTTCTCCTCCCATTTTTGTGTGCCCAGATCAGGTAATTTCCCACACTTTTACTCATTTGGGCATGCAGCCACCCAATTTTCATATGCAAACAAGATGCTTTGCTGTTATAAACAGGAATTACCAGAGTTTGCAACTCTCACTTGTTGCACTTGGCTTGCACAGTCCTTTCAATGTCTTGGCCAGAGAATCTTGTGTATTTGCACTGGTGTTAATGACCCTAGCAGCTGCAAGGAAATAGAAAATCAGGTCCATTGTGTGACGGACCTTTCTAATGATATCTCACAAGACCCATCTTGCATAAAATAGATCTTAGGCTATAATCATGTTCTAACAATATTTCCATGAAGCAGATGGGGTGTAGTGTCACACATTGCTCCTTTCAAACTCATGCACAAGTCAACCTAGTCACAGCTCTCCATTTACACAGTAGTAACTCTTTGCCTATAAAAATTGCTCAAAATGGGATTGATCCAGAGGGCTGTTACCCATCCCTCAGCTCCATTGACTCCACTCTGAGTTCCAAGTGCATAGCACCTCTAGAAAACTAGAATCAGCATGAAAGCTTGTTGTGTTATCATAATACTCCTAACCATGTAAAGGTCTAACACAAAAAGCCTTGGAATAGCACTGACAAGCAGATCTTTATTCCACTGATTCCCTGCCATGCAGTGCACAGGCATTTAACATTCCCACCTCCCAGCCTGCTCATGGAGAGGCAACTTGAACCCGAAGAACCATTCATTTGCTTTTTAAAAGAATGACTTACGGTATATTCTCTCAGGTGAGACACTCTCCTAATTATTCATCAGTCCCCTAAGAGTTGACTTAGATCTCGATTCCACACAGTGTGATATGTGGGCAGACTACGGCACCTGTGCTCAGTGTGGCTCCATCCCCACCCAGCCACTATGCAATCCAGCATAGGGGCCTTAATGATTAAATACAAAATACAGCTTCAGTTGTGAAATATAGTCATTAAACTCCCAGGGCCAAATTCATCCCTGATGTGACTCCACCAACTTCAGTGGAGTTACACCAGAGACCAATGGGGAACATCCTCACAGAGTCAGGTTCAGAATGAATTCAGCTTCTGATTAATTTTTGCTGTGTGATGCTCTCTCTTGCCACAGATTCCATCAGATATCTCTCATCCCCTGTATGACAACCATGTTACCCTAGTTAACCTCTTGTGACAGTCTGTACCCTTTTACAGGGCTATGATATATTTTGTATAAAGTATGCCTTGTGAGGTATCATTCAAAAACTCATAACTTGCTGATCATTATTATCCTGATAAAATGTGTGTGATGACATTGCATGTAAAGTTATATGATTCCCCTGTACAGTATTACTAGACATGTTCTGAGTCTACAGAGAAGCAGACACAGACCAGTTCTGCAGAGACAAAAGGCTAGCCAACGCCTCAGCCAGGTGTCAGCAAAATCAAATGGAACATCACCTGGTTAAGTGGCCATTCTTTGAAAGGAAAGAGGATGTGGGTGAAAAGCTACATCTTCACAAAAAAACAGCTAGGGGTTCCCATCCACACAGACTTCCTGTCTCCTGAATCTCAGCTGGAATGATTCTTGAAGAAGAGAAAGGACTAGAAGAGGAGAAAGGATGTGTCCCATTTGATTTGTCCCTTTCTCTCTACCTAGGACATCCACACTTGAAGACCAAAGGAAGCAGCTTTGGAGTTGAAGAGGGATCCGGTCTTCCTTCTTGCATATGCACTTCAACTACATTGTAACACTGCTCCTGCAGAAAAAGTCCAGTCCTGCCAGCTGCTGATGCCTCCTGCAGAGTGCCTCCTGTCAATGCCTAAGTCTTTCAGTTTATTTATTGAGGAATTATTGGTTTACTTTTACAAAATAAAGCACCATTAAATAAAAAGCCTCTTAGCCCTACCTACTATAGGTGGCACTCTGTACACTGCAGATGTTCTTAAAGTGCATCTGTGCTCTGAAAATGCCTCAAAAATGGCATTCTGGGGCTCCACGTTTATTGTGTAGCAGTGCCTCTAACCTAAATAGGTTCAGCTTACAAGTAAAATGATGTTTATTCGAATCGCCAGCTCTGCAAACTCCAACTAGAATGGCAGACTCAAGCTGGGCTCTTTGCCTTGTGCATTGTCACCAACTCCCGCAGGCCAAATTCTGCCCTCAGGGTATGTCTACACTACGGAATAAGGTCGAATTTATAGAAGTCGGTTTTTTAGTAATCAGTTTTATATATTCGCGTGTGTGTGTCCCCACAGAAAATGCTCTAAGTGCATTAAGTGCATTAACTCGGCGGAGCGCTTCCACAGTACCGAGGCTAGAGTCGACTTCCGGAGCGTTGCACTGTGGGTAGCTATCCCACAGTTCCTGCAGTCTCCGCTGCCCATTGGAATTCTGGGTTGAGATCTCAATGCCTGATGGGGCTAAAACATTGTCGCGGGTGGTTCTGGGTACATATCATCAGACCCCCCTTCTCTCCCTCCCTCCGTGAAAGCAAGGGCAGACAATCGTTTCGCGCCTTTTTTCCTGAGTTACCTGTGCAGACGCCATACCACGGCAAGCATGGAGCCCGCTCAGGTAACCGTCTCCATATGTCTCCTGGGTGCTGGCAGACGCGGTACAGCATTGCTACACAGTAGCAGCAACCCATTGCCTTCTGGCAGCAGACGGTGCAGTACAACTGGTAGCCATCTTTGTCATGTCCGAGGTGCTCCTGGCCACGTCGGCTGGGAGCGCCTGGGCAGACATGGGCGCAGGGACTAAATTTGAAGTGACTTGACCAGGTCATTCTCTTTAGTCCTGCAGTCAGTCCTATTGAACCGTCTTATGGTGAGCAGGCAGGCGATACGGATTGCTAGCATTCGTACCGTACCATCTTCTGACGGGCAGGCAAGAGATGAGGATGGCTAGCAGTCGTATTGTACCATCTTCTGCCGGGCAGGCAAGAGATGAGGATGGCTAGCAGTCCTTCTGCACCGTCTGCTGCCAGCCAAAGATGTAAAAGATAGATGGAGTGGATCAAAACAAGAAATAGACCAGATTTGTTTTGTACTCATTTGCTTCCCCCCTCCCCTGTCTAGGGGACTCATTCCTCTAGGTCACACTGCAGTCACTCACAGAGAAGGTGCAGCAAGGTAAATCTAGCCATGTATCAATCAGAGGCCAGG